CGCCCGTCGTGGGTTAGGGTCTTAGGGATTCAAGGGGAGGGAATGGGGAATTTTATTGGTCGTTCCTCCCGCAGGGGGCCGAAATCACATATTTGACCTGTGGGCCAAATCAAATCACAAATTGACCTTGTTCCGAAAAATTTTCACTCTGCTGACCCTTTAGTGTGGCGCCCGACACCTAGGCGCCGCACACAACTATGCAGCGCCCTTCCTTTAGGCGTCACACATCCTGCCAGCGTGGTGGCCCTGGTCCAGTTGCGGCCCCACAGACAACAGTGCAGCGCCCAAGGGATAGGCGCCACACTATGAAAGTGCAGCGCCTATCACTTGGGCGCTGCACTGTGACTTATAGCGCATCTGCCCAGCGACCAGGCAGTTGTTCCTCCTCTCCCCTCTCTGGACAGAGAGCAGCGGCGGCGCCCCCATCGAATCCCCCCCCACATTCCTCTCAGATCTGAGGATTTGATCCGTGGATTCGATCTCCAATCCATCCTACTAGGTAAACTCCTCCGTTCCCTTTCTTTTCGTCCGTAAATTTGTTGCAATTTTAGAGATTTGTTCAAGATTTGATGGAACCCTTGATTTGGTTGATTTGCTTGATTTAGGATGTGTAGTCATAGTGATAGTCATAGTGATGGTACCTTAGTGTTGTTGTTTAGTTCACAGTATATGGTTCTTGTTAGTGAAACCTAGAGTGTTTAGTTTTTTTAGATATACATGAGATGCCTATTTATATAGATAATATGAGATGTTGTTTTTTGTAGACATATAAGAGATGTTTGTTTAGATATATATATATTAGATGTTGAGTTTATTTGAAATATTAGATGTTGAGTTTATTAGAAGACATATGACATATTCATTGTGTGAGAAGGAGATGTTGAAATTCTTGTAATTGAACACATATTAGATGTTTAGTGTAAACCGATATTTGAGATGAAGATGAACTCATATATGTTTATTGTTTTAACTTACTAAGGATGGTTTGGCTTCTCGACGATGTCTACGACACGAAACATCGGGCCTACATGATGCGCGAGAAGGAGATGGTAATAACGAGTAATCTAAATATTTTGCAAATTTGCCTTAAGTTGAAATTTACATGCCCTAAGATTTGTCATTACTTGTTTTTTGCAGAAGCTTGAACCTTTGAAGATTCGGTATCACGGGGTCTCTGGTCCTGCCATGCCTTACGATGAGCGGTACACACCGTACATCAAGCAGGCAGGACTATTCCCGTGGATTCAGTTGGTCAGGCGGTCCACGCCGAATCTGAACGCTCCACTGGTGTCCGCTCTTGCTGATCGGTGGAGGACGGAGACGCATAGTTTCCATCTTCGGACTGGGGAGATGACCGTGACGCTCGAGGATGTCTCGTTGATCACCGGTCTTGCTATCGATGGGAGGCCTCTCTGTATGAGCACCGATTCTGATGGGTGGCGCGAGCAGATGATTGCTCTTATCGGTATTGCTCCTACCGAGGCTGAGGCTGATGTAGAGGAGGGAGAAGAGAAGAAGAAGAGGGAAAGGAAAGCTGCCGGAGTTGCTTTTATGTGGATTCAAAATCACTTTGCGACGTGCCCTCCGGATGCCACTGATGATGTGATCCAGACACATGCTCCTGTCTACATGTGGTATGTTGTGTCGAGGACTTTGTTTCCTGACTCCACTGGCAAGAACGCTCCATGGATGTGGCTGAAGGCGTTGACCGTCTTCGATAGCAAATGGAGCTGGGGTACAGCTACTCTTGCCTATTTGTACAGACAGGTAGTTGGTTTGTTTTGTGATCAACTCATTCTTCATTAGCAATGCAAGCTTGCTGTTAAGTTAACATTATTTTTCTTTCATATGCAGCTGGACTATGCGTGTCTGCGGATCACAGATAGTGCAGGCATTGGTGGTAATATGCTTCTACTTTCTGTATGGAGCTGGGAGCGTCTGCCTGTTGGACGCCCGAAGAGCGTCAGGTTTAATCCTTGGTATCAAGATGAAGATGACGAATTACAGCTCCCCACTTGGGCTTACAAGTGGGATGTGGTTTCCGAGATGACGAACGATGTCAATCTCATGTACCAGAAGTACGTTGCCGAGTTGGACACGATTACGCCTGAGCAGGTAACGAGGTCATTACTTCAGTCATTTCTCATGTTTGCCTGCAAACAAGTCACCAATTTTGCATTGTTGCCCTATTTCATAGGTGGAATGGCAGCCATATGGCGCCGATGATAGACTTGGGTACACCCCGGAGTTTACCATCAACCCGATGTGCTTGCGGGATAGGGATCTCTGGCTTATGCGGTGCCCACTGATATGCAACTGGGCTGTTGAGTTTCATTTGCCACATCGCGTGTTTCGTCAGTTCGGTCTGTTCCAGCCTCACCCGCCAGAATGGGTGGATACGGACAAGGCACTTCATAGGTAAGAGAGGGTATTGACTAAGCATCTTCACTCCTCCTTGATTTTGCTAATGTTTGGTATTGTACCATGCAGGTTGGATAGGAGAAAGCAGCGCAAGATAAAGGACTGGGACAAGCATCATGCTTCGTATGTCACCCGCTTTCAGCTTTGCGTGGAGCAAGCTCGTAGCACTGCACGTGCCCAGCTTCATGAGCATAACCCAGTTGCATTTGATAACTACATACGATGGCTTCTTGAAAATACTCGAGTTGAGATATGCCCGCCGGCATATAATGAGGATATTCTTGAAGAACCCATAAACTTTGAGGATCTATCAAAGGGGAAGTACAACATAGATGTCAAGTTAGGGCAAGGAGTCCCTACTGTTCCGGTGATTAACTATGTGGTAAAGTGTTCCTTCTTTATTTTCCCGTTGGCCGTATTACACATGTTTGAATGGCTAACGTGTTCATTATTTCTCATCCGCAGCGCACCGAGATCAAGAAAGCTGCTGATGAGAGCCAGAATATTTTGGAGAACACACCGGTTGCAAAAGGCAATGATGATGGTTCACTACGAGCATTCCTCAAGGTACAAATCGCATTCACTATGAGAGGTAGTCTATGTTGCGGTTTTTGATATCTTCCACACTTGTTCATGTTACAGCGTCAGGCCAGGAAGTTAAGGCGGTTATCGAATCTTCTCGGTTGCCGTGATCCCGAATATGATGAACCATCTGCCTCTAGGTCTGGTACACCATCAGACCCCTCATCTCACCATCAGGGGGACGATGTCAGTTCCTCATATGCTTATATGGATGATGAGGGTGCGGTCACCCAAGAGGTATGACTAATCCTTTAGATGTGATTCTCACTTGATTACGAAGTCGGTCTTCACCATATTGTTTGATTGTGATAGGGTGATGACCTTGATGATGACATGACTTTGGCGGGTGCTCAACTTCGGTCCCCATATGTGTTCAAGCCTAGGCAGCCCAAACGCCGGTACACGCCCAACGACTTTGACAACAGAGGCAACCCAAAGGTGGTCGTAGGGCCCTCGCGGATGGCTAGCTTGGATCATGAGGCGGAGGCGGAGGCGGAGGCGGAGGCGGAGGCGGAGGCGGAGGCGGAAGTGCAGGAAGAGGAGGCTCGTCCACCCAGGAGGAAGAAGATTGCCTGCAAGCGTGGCACCAGGAACACGCGCGGAAGGCATTAGTGTTTGCTACTATGGAAGTGCTCTCTTTGTAGCCGTTTCGTTAGGTTGATGAACTCTTACTATTGTGGTACTTGTGTTTGCGACCTAGTAGTAACGTTGAATTGTCCTAAATGATGTGATGTTCAAGTTATTACTTGTGTTTACTTGTCTTTGTTCAGTATTTGTCCTGAATGATGTTGTCTTTGTTCAGTTGAATTGTGTAGTATTTGTATTTGCCAAAATGGAATCTGTTTCTGCAGTTTGGCAGTTGACAACACTGCAGCGCCTGACAGTCAGACGCTGCACTGTACCGTGCAGCGCCCCACGCCTAGGCGTTGCACATCACAGTGCAGCGCCCTACCCATGGGCGCTGCTTAAGTGGCCATGGCTACCCATAGGACCCCAGAAGGCTTTGACACTGACGATCCACGAAAATTACAAGTCACAGTGCAGCACCCCAGAACAAGGCGCTGCACATTACAGTGTGACTCCCATCCTTTAGGCGCTGCATAGAACAGTGTAGCGCCTCTTCTCTGGGCGCTGCACTGCTGTTTACTATAAAAACAGAATTGAGAGCACATTCATTTCACCGGAACATCATAATACGTACAATGACTTCATCATCACAGAAATTTGAACAAACAAAAATTTTATGCCGATGAGTTCATCACTTACGACAATTGAACAAGTTACTACGACATGGTTCAACAAGTGGAACACAGCCTGTGCAGCGCCCAAGCGATAGGCGCTGCACTTTCACAGTGTGGCGCCTATCCCTTGGGCGCTGCACTGCTGTCTGTGGGGCCGCAACTGGACCAGGGCCGCCACGCTGGCAGGATGTGCGACGCCTAAAGGAAGGGCGCTGCATAATTGTGTGCGGCGCCTAGGTGTCGGGCGCAACACTAAAGGGTCAGCAGAGTGAAATTTTTTCGGAACAAGGTCAATTTGTGATTTGATTTGGCCCACAGGTCAAATATGTGATTTCTGCCCCCGCAGGGAGCCCCGCATGGTGAGAACAATTCTTTATTTTCTTGTTAGTTCCTTCTTTATTATTTATTTCAAGTTTGGTGCGGCTCGACCAGCCAACGTGGCGCCCTTCCCGGCCAGGTCCATAGCGTTATCTGTACATAGGACCATTTTGAAGCGTATCTACGTATTGGAGGAGCGTAACGGAGCAGTCGACGAGTATCAGTACCTTGCTGTTACGTGCCGGATAGTATAGGTACCTGTGTGCGCAACGGGCATGTAACGTGTCTGTAACCGAGAGCTGGATCTCTGAAACTTCAAGTTTTCTGGTCAGTAGCCTCATGGCTGATTGCCCAGCAAACACTTTTGTTTGAATAAAGCTCGAAGTTCTCTGAAAAAAAATAGTATAGGTACCGTAGTTGTAATTATCTCAAAACAGAATGCCAAAAAAGCACCGTGACCGAATTTTCCATTGCCTCGATTTAATCGCGATTCCTGCCGGCACACCCCCTGTCACATCCCCACCGCCGAGGAGTTCGAAGGCGATGCCTCGGAAATCGTCCAAGGCCGCCGCCAACGCACTCCAACGCCTCAACCTCGACGCCGAGGATGCTCCCGTAGAGACGCTGCCGGCGAAAGCTTCTTCGTCCGGGACCGCCGCGGTGGGTGGGGGCCAGGAGGAAGAGTGCTTGAGAAGGCTGCACGAGCTGGTGGGGTTTGGTCGGGAGAGAGTGGAGTTGACTGAGGAGGAGGTGCGCGCCAACGATCAGAGGCAGGAGGACGAGGTGATCTGCCGCGTTGTTGCGATTCGTGTTTTCTTTTTTGCAGTAGATCTGGGAATTAAGCTTGAAGGAGGGGATCAGGGTAGGACGGAGGAGGGAGGGAGAGGGAGAGAGTTAATTACAGAGAAGGTTCAAAGCACCGCACCCGCAGTAGATCTGGATATTGCGAGTAGCTTCGTTGCCTCTGTCATGCATATGAGGATAAAGTTGTGAACTTTATGATTCTTTTTTTGTCCCGCTGCTAATTCTTGAGGGCCAAGTGTTATTATCACTTATCTTAGTTTGATAGCCCAGATATGTTTTTACTTGGGCATGTGTTTCACTCATCTTAGTTTGATAGCCCAGATGTGTTATCACACTGAGAGCTCTTAATTCTTAATTTGCCGTTATCTTGGTCAGATATGTGCCCTGGAAGCGATTTTTGGTGACAATCTAGTCATGTTCAGTAGAAAGGAGGGCCAGCGATCTTTCCAGGTATATCTCTCTCTCACCATCAATCTTCAGGTCACATTCTTTCTTATCCGTAAGGGCATCTGTTGCTGTCATTACAGGTTCATGTGCATATTGAGATCCCAGATGGTACAAATGTATCGGCCAGGCTCAGTTCTGGTGCTGGGACACCAAATTACAAGCAAGCACATGATCATGATGGTGATGCCAGTGATGAGCTGTTTTACAAGTTTAGGGTTGATCATTTACCTCCGATCCTGTTATCATGCCTCCTGCCTTTGTCGTACCCTAGCCATCAACCACCTTTTTTCACTATATCCACCGAATGGCTGGACAGAGTGATGATTTCGTCATTATGTGAGATGCTGGATATGACCTGGGAAGAGCAACAGGGCATGGAAGTAATATATCAGTGGGTGCAACGGCTCCAAAGCTCTTCCCTTTCTTACTTAGGGTTTGGCGATGAGATAGTTTTAAGCAAGCATGATCAAACATATGCTGAAGATGGTGGGGATAAGCGTGCTTTAACACACAATGCTCCACCTGATGTTACAATTCCAAGGATTATTAGATACAATGATGATAAGCATCATGAAGCCTTTTTGTATGCTATCCATTACTGCATGATTTGTTTTAGCGAGTTTCCAGGTAACACCTTCTTCCATTTTCATAGAACTGTTTGCACAAGTGTTGTACTAGAAGTCTTCTGCTATGTTATACTTACCACATTTGATGTGTGTTGTCCTTATTGTTCTACGGTTCAGGTTTCAAAAAGAAAGTGTGTTGTCCTTGCTCCCAGTGGAACTATCTTTATGAAGTGCAGTTTAGTTCCCAAATATTCCCTATTTTTTAACAGAAATAACAACAACGTAGTTATATAGATGCCATGCTATAGGTTCTCATTTTGAGATAGCAATTCATTAGTCCTTGTGAGTCCTTCTGAGTGAGATTGTTTTATTTGTAAACATTTATACTTCAGAAACATGGTACCGAGGAGTCCAACCTTTATGTTTTCCATTTACATTTCTTAATCCTTGTTATTTCAATTTCACTTATATTTCCGAGTCTAAAGTCTAAATTATTGCTTCATCAGGTGTCGATTTCATCAAACTTCCATGCCATCATTTCTTTTGCCAGAAATGCATGCAAACATATTGCAAAATGCATGTGAAGGAAGGAACTGTAGTGAAGTTGTTGTGTCCTGATACAAAATGTGGAGTCGTTGTTCCTCCTAATATATTGAAAAGGCTGCTAGGGGAGGACGAGTTTGAACGTTGGGAAACATTGCTCTTCAGAGAACTCTTGACGCAATGGTTGATGTAGTTTATTGTCCGAGATGTCAAACTGCTTGCTTGGAAGATGCAGGTGATGAAGCCTTGTGTCCAAGTTGTTTATTCAGCTTTTGCGCACTTTGTAGAGAGCGGCGTCATGTTGGGGTGCAATGTTTATCTCCAGAAGAAAAACTTCATATTTTGGAGGTAGGTCTATCCCACTCTTTTGCAATAATATGTTTATGATATGTCTTTTACTTCAGAGGTTGTACGGGTCGTTCACCGGAGGTCGGTGGAGATGGCAAGGCGCCGTGGTCGGCGTTGGTTGGTAGCAGTGGTTGCATAATCAGAGAACTAGATTAGGTGTGGATAGCGTATAGAGAAACTGACGTTATGGCTATGGTGGCTTATAAAGCCAAACAACGGATAGGTGTCCTAGGGGGACACGGACTCATAACAGACCAGACTTGACCTAATCTTCTATTGACGTCTAGACCGACTCAGACCTGGACCTCTTTTTCTCATGGTTTCCTTACTGCAGGGGTCAAGCTAGACCCTTTTGTGGTCTGCGCTGATAGGGTATCCCCAAATGCAGGCCCGGAACACTTCTCCCCTCCTCATGAAGCGGCTCGTCCTCGAGCTGGAACTCAGGGAAGCTACTCCTTGAATTTGCCATGTCGTCTCATTTAACTTCACTTGGAGGCAACACTTGCCAAGTGACCAACACCTCCTATTTGTCACGACGTAGGCGCGCTTTGTCTACCTTTGTTGGAGTGGGCACTACTTTGTGGTGCTCTATACTACCTCCTTTGGCGGGTTTCCATGGAAATACCTGAGAAGTCCAACATGAAATACATCATGGATATGATTAGTCGAAGGTAGCTAAAGGCTATGAAATTCACGATGCCAATTCTTTCTGGTATTTGAAATGGGCCATAGTATCATGGTGTGAGCTTGGCATGTGCGTGAACAACAAGGTTAGCTACTTGGCCATGTTATTGTTGGAGCAAAACCCAATCACCCACTTGAAATTCGAGTTCTTTACGGCCATGGCACACGGAGAACAAGCCGAAGTGAGTCTCCCGTTGGCACACGGTCCACTTGTGGGATGGCACGAACAATGTGTATCATTGACCACGTTTTCCTAATTTGTAACTCAAATTAAAGGATTTGAATGTAATGAAAAAAAGTTGTGGAACTTTTAGCGGAACAAGTAGTGTGTTCTTTAACTTATTGTCCCCATCTAACACAATCAAGTTTCAGAGCTAACGGCTAACATCGGATACCAGGATGATGTGTGGAAGTGCAATCATGCCCTTACATCATATTTTGATGTTGATGACAATATACATGTAGGGGACTAACTATGTTTATCAAGTAAATCTCAGGTGTTAAGTCCTCAGATAACAAATGTGTGTGGATCATGGACGTATGGAATTGATACGACTCAAGGAAGAAGAAACATTAGATCAACAACTCTTATCTTTGTTTATTCTTGAGTATAGGATCCCACACTATTAAGAGGGGATCGATAGGGTTAGCGAAAGACATGCTCAAGTCATTGCAATTCCCTCCGTTTTTTCTACCTTGCCACATCTCCTAAAAATAACCATCTCATTTAGAACAATGGTGGGGTCAATAAGTTTCACATACTCTTTCCCTCTATCTTAAAAAGTGTGTTATGTTGGGGGGCGCCAGATGTCCGGGGCTCTGCCAGAAATCCGGCTCACACAACACAGAGGAGGTTTCTCTCTTGGTCCAAGGCAGCCGGATGTCCGGGCCCTTTCGTAGTGCCGAATGTCTGGGGGTATCCCAGATTTTCGGCTGGTTCTATCTAGAGAGCTTCACCTTCTATGGCCGGATGTCCGGCACTTCGTCGGATGTCCGGGTGCACCCCGGAAATCTGACCTACTACTTCCAGGAACTTAACCCCTCTGGTATCTGCGCACGCCGGATGTCTGGCCCACTGCCGGCTATCCGGGGCCTTTCTGTTGTGCCGGATGTCCGGGTCTTGCCCTAGATGTCCGACTCCTCTGTTTCTCCTCTATACTCCGTTTTTTCACAGGTCCGTCTCACTGTGTTGGATGTCCGACCTAACATAGGCACTTACACCACAACGGCCATATTTGCTCCACCACTATATATAGCCTTCTTCCTCCACGGGAAAAGGTTGACCATTCCCCTTGAGCACCCCCAAGAACACATTTCACTCTCTCTCTCAATCTCATACACCAAATCCTAGATCCCAAAGGGATTTGAGAGCGTTTGTGAGAAGTTGCCCAATCAAGTGATAGATCCACTCTTTCCCCTTTCTTCTCACCAAAGGAATTCGTGATTTGAGCAAGTCTTAAGCTTTTCCCCATCATTCTTATTACTCTTGGAGGTTGGAGACTCCTAGGCGGTAGGAGTTTTTCGGAGAGGAATCGATCATTGTGATTACCCCTGGAAAGTTTGTGAGGGTTTGGAGACCACCCCAAGGTCTACCACTAGTGGTTGACAATCGCCTTCGTGGTGATATCTCAAAGAGAGAATAGGGTGAGCCTTCGTGGCGTTGGTGTGCAGTCGTGGTAACATCCACCTCTCTAAACGGTGACGTAACTTCCCTCCAAGGAAGTGAATATCGGCATACATCCTCGTCTCTCGGAGTTGCGGTTATTCCTAACCCTAGCTCCCTATGTGTGGTTACTTGTCTCTTAGTCTTTACTTGAATTATATTGTGCTTGTTTATTCACGTACTTGTTCACCTTGCTTAACTCTTGTATCACCTTTGTAATTGTTAGGCTCACTTTCATATTCAACATTATAGCCTAAAATTGCTAAGTAAGAATTAAAATTT